TACATTTAAAAATAAATGTTTTCCATTTTTTTTTAATATATTTTTTTATTGATTTTTTACAGAGAGGAAGGGAGAGAGATAGAGAGTTAGAAACATCGATGAGAGAGAAACATCGATCAGCTGCCTCCTGCACATCTCCTATTATTATTATTATTATTTAATCCTCACCTGAGTAATTTTCTCCTTTGATCCTTAGAGAGATAGAAGGGAGAGAGGGAGGAGGAGAGAGAGAGAAACATCTATGTGAGAGAGACAGACATATTGATTGGTTGCCTCTCACAGATGTCCCAAGTGGGGCTGTGGAATGAACCTGCAACCCAGGTACGTGCCCTTGACCAGGTATCAAACCGATGACCCTTCAGTTTGAGGGCCGGTACACTACCACTGGGCAACACCAGCCAGGGCCCAAACACATTTTTAATGGTGTAAAGGTTCTCCCATAACTGTCTTCTTTAGAAGCCATGCTTAGTACTTAATTTTGTACACTACAGTCTTTTTAATCACTAACACTTATTTTTACTCCGTTTCAAGTACAGGGTCTTTCTTTCATGAGGAAAACTTGCAGTTCTTACTATTTCCTGAAAATTTTATTATTGTTAATGCTTATATTTAGGCTAAATTAATTTGAAAGTAGATAAATGCTATCTGAGAATATAAAATATGGAAGCAATGTCCACGAATAAAAATCAATCAAGTAAAAAAAAAATCAAACATGTATAAACACTAAAGTTGTCATGTATCATTCAATGTGAAAATGTTGATTACATTTCCCAGCCTCAGAGCCTCACCCTTCAAAGACTAAGCTCTGTGTTGAAATGGATTTCTCTGCCTGACAAGAGGAAACTTCCAGTCAAGGCTCAACCTTTGTTCCAGAACCTTTGATTTTATGGAGAGACTAGCCACACCTGGCTGCCAGGTCTGATCTGAGTGGAGGAGGTACCTGGGAGAGAACTGGTCGGATCTGAATAGGCATGCTTGACTGGAATGGTGAGTTAAAACTGAGGAGTGATGCTCAACAGATATGAGGGAGGCCTCAATACTGCACGATTCCCAGAGAGACTGGAGGGAGAAAGGAATTTAGGTTTACCATTATATCATCATTCATCCCCGAAGACCAGTCACATTTGTGCAAAATTCAACTCTATGTGTATAAACTTCTATATACATGTTTGGCAACCTTAACCTTTTTAATCCAGTTTACAAAAACTGCAAGTCATCTTTTCTGGGGATAATTAGAAAGTGTAGTTTTTTGGTTTGTTTTTTAAAAAATACTAGTATTGTTATTGAATTCAGAGAGGAAGGAAGAGGGAGAGATAGAAATATCAATGATGAGAGAGAATCATCCATTGGCTGACTCCTGCACGCTACCTAATGGGGATCGGGCTGGCAACCCGGACATGTGCCCTGACAGGGAATCGAACCGTGACGTCCTGGTTCATAGGTCGATGCTCAACCATTGAGCCACACCAGCTGGGCTAGAAAGAGTAATTTTGACAATGAAAGCTTAGGAGAGGGAACGGTGAAACAAAATAAGACCAGTGGCTAAAATTATGCCCCACTAGTGTCCATAAGGAAAAATGATTTTAGAGGGGCTGACACTCGGTGCTTTGGTATAATAGTTACAGCTGCTATTTAGTAAAGTTACTGTGCTTCACCCTGAACTGTTTTTATTTTATTTTATTCTGTTATTATTTTGTTTTCACACTGAACTGTTTTCATACACAACACTGGCACCAAATGTGTGGGGGTTTTCTTCACACCAACCACTTCAACTCCACAGCCAATTCAATTTTGACACTATTTATAGTGAGTGAAGGCTCAGTCCCACAAATCTGCCCCTTACTTTAGATGCCAGTCGGCAAGTCCCAGCTGCCTACCCACAGGTCTGATTTGGTATAAATTCGAGGGTTCCCACAATCCCTTCCTCAGGCCCATAATTGGCACACAACTCAGGAGAGTGCTTTACTGATGGTCACAGGTTTACTACAGAGGATACAAGTCAGAACAACCATGTGGAAGGGAAGCATAGGGCCAGCTATGGGAGAAGTGGTGCAGAGCTCCATGCCCTCTCCAAGCACACCCCCTCCCAGCACCTTGAGGGATCCACCAACCTGACAGCTCTCCGTTAGGGGTTTTTATGGAGGCTGTTTTGTAGGCAAGATTGATTAATTCACTGGCCAGCGAGGATTCGCCCAAACCCCAGCCCCTTTCCCCTCCACAGAAGGGGCGAGGGGGGACTGAAAGTTCCAATCCTGTAATCATGCCTTGATCTTTATGGGAACCAGCCCACATCGCACCTCTGCGGGCCACCAGATGACAGAGTCCATCTCATTAGCATACAAGAGGCATTCCTAACACTTGCCATAGTCCAAGTGTTTTATGGGCTGTGTGCCAGGAACTTGGGACAAACACCAAATCTATATATTTCTTATAGTGTCATAGATATATAAAAAAACAAACAAATAAAAAAACACACAAGGAAAATCTGAGAAACTGTCACAGCCAAGATGGGATATGGAGACATGATGACAAAATGTAATGTGATTATTCTGAACGGGATCTTGGGCAGAGGACATTAGGCAAAATCAAAGAAAATCTGAACAAAGTATGGATAATTAAAATGTATAAACAAGGGGGAAGGGGACTCCTAAAAAAGAAAGAAAAAAATCAAAATAAAATATATGAATAAGTATTCATTTTAACAAATGCCCCATATAATGTTAGTAATAGGGGACACTGCTTGTGGAGTACAAGAGGACTCTACTTACCTGCTCAATTGTTCCGTAAATTTAAAATGGTTCCAAAATAAAACGTTTATTTAAAAATAAAGTGTACTGACTATGATAAATGAATTAGTCATCTTAAATAGATTTGGGTTGCAAGGAAGAGAAATCTAACCAAAGTAGCTTCATTAATAGGTAAGGCTGGCTGCTACATGGTCTTAGGGACACACAAAATGATGAGTAATTGTGCATG